GTAGTGGTAGTGGTAGTGGTAGTAGTAGTAGTGGTAGTAGTAGTAGTAGTAGTAGTAGTAGTTAGTAGTAGTGGTGGTGGTAGTAGTAGTAGTAGTAGGAGGAGGAGGAGGAGTAGTAGTAGTAGTAGTACTGGTAGTGGTGTTGGTAGTAGTAGTTGTTGTTGTTGTCGCTGTTGTAGTTGTAGTTGTAGTCGTTGTAGTTGTTGTTGCTGTTGTTGTTGTGGTTGGTTGTTGTTGCCACTGTTGTTGCTGCGGTTGTTGTTATTGTCATTGTAGTAATTGTTCTTGTTGTTGTTCTTGTTGTTGTTGCTGTTGCTGTTGCTGCTGCTGCTGCTGCTGTTGTTGTCGTTGTTGTTGTGTAACAGCATCATCAAAAAAGCGACCAGACAAGGAAAGAGATGTAGCGACAACCACGATAAGCGGAGGACTAACAACATTCGTGTCTGCATCGGTAGTAGGCAGAGGAGCAAGAGCAGGGGTATCAATAAAAAGTGGAAGCGAGTCTTGCCACCAATACCTCAGCAATGAAGTGGACACTGCCTGAGCTTCCAGCTCTACGTACTGGGTTCGGTTCTCGACCTTTCCGTGGACGAGGCAGATATACGCCTGCCATTTCAGCTCGTCTCAGATCTGCCATAGCGCAAGCATCTCGAAGGTCTTGGGATTCACTACGGCAGGTGACACAGCGCAGTTCGCGTCTCAGCATGTCCGAACATCTAAGGATCTGCCTCAACACATGGACCACCTGCCTTGCTGAAGATGTGCTCCTTCAGCTGAACCTGCACTGGCGCAGAGAACAGCTGTCACAACAACAGCAGCACACTGAAATTCGTTAAACGCCGTCCCTTTGACGCTGAGATTTGCTGTGGTCCAACCAATGGAAAAGAGATTGGCAGCAATGCAGTTGAACTGCATCTTCCTCCACCCGCTACCCTCGAATGTGTGTGACGGTAGGAATCTTGGCCCTCCGAGGTGCAGAAATGGGGGCCCACTCACTGCACTGGTGCCTTGTGCGCACGCATGAATTGCCAACACCGCTATGGGCCGGTATGGTCACTGAATCGTATCTTATCGGCTTCCTGCTGTGGGCTACAGAACTGGCGAAGTGTGCAGGCGTGGATTTCGGGGGTCTTCTTATTCTTAGTTACTGCACCGGAAATGGAAAGAACCGGTAAGAATCAGATCCCCCCAAGAGTTTGCTTTGTCTTGTCAGGCAGCTGTGCTACTCAGCCGGTGTCGAGCAAGCTCTGCTATCAGTTCGGTTTCCAATTCATGCTCCAGCAGATGAGTCGTGTCGTCCAGACAAGATTGTAACCACGATGTTTCCATGGCACCAGCTTGAAAGAGCAACCGGGCTGCAAGGTCTGGTACAGCATGGAGTACTTGCGGTTCCACATCCTTGCAGCCGGGCCGCTGCCCAAAAGCAGACCAACAACTGCCGGAGTGTCAGATGCTTGACATTGCATGAGATGCTCTCTGCAATTGCCACCGCAGCTTTCACGACCAACGGTGTTGACTCGTGCAGTAGCGCTGCAGCCCACAGAGAATTCTCTATTTTAAAATAGCAGATTCCATGGTCGCGGCCATAAGCTCAACAACCATCAAACCGTTGCCTGCACTTCGAACAGATGAGCGGCAGCCCAGAGGAAGTTTGACACTTCTTGCTCAGACGTGTGATACACGATGTTCGGTATGCACCAAGCGATGGCTGCTCTAACTGCCAAGACCTCTCGTGCCGCGAAGTGTAGCTGTGCAGTAGCCCAGAAGCAGTTCGCCAGATGGAAAGGACACATGCTGCTGACTGTCTTCACTATGGCTGCCGCAAGCATGGGGACAGCTGCCGAAACCGCATCCGGCAAGCCCTCCAATCTTGGCATGGCCCACAGACAGTTGGACAGCTCTGCCGGGCACATTCTTGTCATCAATGATCTTCACAATGTCTGCCAGACGTACCAAGACTGACGGCGCTTCGGCTTGCAGACTCACGGCTGAAGGTGACGAGAACCATCTAAACATCCAGTGTGGCGATTGGCAGCGCCAGAGCGAGCAATTCAATCCGTGAGCCTTGAGCCATGACTGCTGCAGGTCCTGCATATGGCATATAGCGGCACCTGGATCCCTTTATGACGACAAAGCGATGCAAAGCCAAGGCCAAAAAACACTGAACAGTGTATGACTGCCTGCAGGAATCTTTGCGCCCTCCACGTCTTCGCAACGAGGACCGGCCTGATGCGAGGGCTTTCACTCGAACTGGCACATGCTTCATGCTTCATGGGCTTCGTAGTCGGGAAAACGAGCAGGAAGCATCAACGACTAAAACTGGTATCGTGCATCTTGTGCTGCCCCTCTCTCACGATGGGCATGGTGGCTGAGATCGTCGAATTTTGGTGTAAGCGCACGTAGGAGAACCGTAGTCAGCTTCTCTTAGCCACTCTCCAGCCCTAAAGCTGAGTCATAGGCCCATCCGTCTCGATATCCAAGCGCTGGATAAATCCATAACTGGGCAGCTCAGTTGCTGAAAAGGTAGGCGGAAAAGGTTTGGACTTGACCTTGTAAGACTCCACTGTGGAAAGAACTTTGGAGACTTCTCAAGTTCCGTCTCGACTGGCTAGTTGCTTTCGGAGAGACCTCAAAATCCTAGCGCGGCATTCGCGAGAATGAGTGGACGGGTATCAGTAGATCCTCTTGCCATGCGAACTGGGAGCAGGGTTTAAGCTGTGAAGTAAGGGCTATGCCCGTTATGCAGTGGTGCAGCCCTGAGAATTTTTTCAGACTTGTCTTTCGAGGCATCAGTTCTCTCGAAATTCATGACATGTCCATGCCACTGCACCTCACAAGGCGTGTGGATGCCAAAGTCCATGGCGCATCTGCTCTGGCGGGCTATGCTCTGCTCTGGGCCCGGCGCTCTTTGACGTACCGGGCCTGTGGGTCCTTTTCTCCGTCATCTTCTCCGACCTCGCTCCAAGCACGCAGGCTCCGACAACCGACGGGATTACGACAGGAGTTGACGATTGGCCTTGCAGGGATATCAATATCATTGTTGCGACTTGGCAGTGCGGGGGTTGGGCTTCATTCAAGTACAGCAGTAAAGCTAACCGCTGTGGGTTTCGGGTGCGCCCTGAAGCAGTTCAGGAATACCGGATTGCACTGCCTCCCTCAAGTTTCGCCGAAGCTTCACTTAGAGTCTTAGAGCTCAATACTTCTCTTTGGGGGGGTTGAACTGTTCTAGGGTTGGCATTGAACTAACGTTTGAGTTGTAAGCCATCCTGGCCGAGACACCCATTGGTTGCCACACGCCAGGCCGTGCCACAACTGCATGCATTGGGCTGGGAGGTTGAAAGACGATTCCATGTGCGGCTCAGTCGAATGATGTTCTTGAACTGGCCATAAGGTCGCAGTGCAATTGCAAGGCTCTCCCACGACCTCCAAACACCACAGAAGCTTCGGGAGAAGTGAAACCAGTAAGGCAAACCGATTGCCCTCAACCACGACGTCCCCTCCTGCAAGCAGCTCTTCTTGTCTGTCCTGGCAGCACATACCAGGCTGAATTCACAGCAAAGCATGCAGCATTAAGTCGTCTAGGAAGACGCAGGCTGCACACATGCTGCTCTTCTAAACGACTGCTCTCTGACGACAAGTTCAACCTGGCAATGACTGGTGCAAGGTGTTCGTCGGCATACACGGGCTTGACACCAACGAGCATTTACCGTCGGGCAGTCGACAATCCAGGCAGAGATGCCACATCTTGTCCAAAGCTTCCTGCTTCGTTTTGCCTGGGACGCTGGCAGGCATGCGACATGCACTGCGAACTGGCTCATTCGTCATCCTCGAGCTGCCTCGTTATTTCTCGTGCTCCACTGCACTATTCTGTTGCACTCGAAATCTTGGGCACTGCAGAAGCACTGCAACAGAACAGGAGTGTGTACAGTGAGGAGAGGACGAACGACGACTGCATTCCTCAACATGCCGCTTGGCAGGCTTCAGCAGAGTTACGTGGATGGCCAGCACCAATGCTTGCGCCTGCGCTACAAAAGCCTTTGCGAAGCCAAAGCCCCAACATAACAGGCGTGGAGTGGAGATGAGATGATAAAGCTTAATGCAATACAAGACAACACCAACAAATAGCACTGTGCTGCAACTAGTCTCGAACGCTGTGCACAGAAAAGAAACCGTGCGAATACAAGTGCCCTTCGCTACACTTTCGCAGAGGGGGTATATGAGGCGTAGGAGCCGAGGGAGTGCGTCTGCGAAGTCGGCAATCATACTCCCGAGTCCAAACACACCCCGATCTCAAGAATCGGTGAGCGGCATCGGAGGTAGTCTTTCAACTGGACATTCCAGGTGTCCTGGCGAGCAGCTTGGCTTCAGCTCTTGGACAGCTCGCGGCTTCTGTATCAATTCGCTATCGCGCAAAGTTTGTTGATCCAGCTTGACTAATCATCATGGTCTAAACTTGCAAACGGATTGAAGTCTGGAGTTCGTCCCGGGAGCCATGTGCATATGGAGCCGAAATACGCGCCGCCAGGTACCGGAGTTCCCCCCATCTGCCACAGGGGCGGCTTGTAGACGACCCAGACCTCATCCTGGGCCAACTCGGATGTCAGACCTATCATATAACAGCTGTATCAAACGCGGCCTGTTATGTCGGGAAGGATGACATGTGCTTTCATGTCAGGCAGCCTGCCACTTTTTTCACAGGGAACACTGCCCTGGCAACGATGTCTGGCCTGAGGCATCGTAAGCCTCTGAACTCATGCATGCCTCTGCCACCCATTCTCGCCGCTTTCTTCCAAATTTCGAGATGTGCTGCTTGTATCTCACACTGCCCGTCACAGGCCCTGCGGGGCTTGACAGACGCAAGTTGTAAAGCATCTGTGCCCGCCGTACACAGCACAAACTAACGTTGCTGCCGTGCTTTGTGATTATGGGAACGTGTGACACACTGCTAGCATGCGGGATGCTTGGGGATAGTACTTTTCTTCAGGTTTGCCGTGCTACGGTTAGCATGCTGGAATCTCCTCTTTGCCCGGGGGTGCATTGCATCCCCTCGCTTTCAGCACGGATGAGTCTACACACACATACACATACCCGTAAAATAGCGGTAGTGGCGGTAGTAGCAGTAGCAGCAGCAGGAACAATAAATAGCAGTAGTGGTGCTAGTGGCGGTGGTGGCGGTGATGGTGGTAGTTCTAGAATCTGCTGTTGTTGTTTTACGCGTTACAGGTGCGTAGTCAAACAGTGGTAGTTGCAGGAAGAAACAGCAGGACCAGGCCCATTTATTCAATCTTGATGTCGTCATCGCACTACTCTGCCTTCAACGAGGATGGGTGACCAAACTGAAAGCGGTGGTCGGCTGTGGAAGGGCTTCAGCAAGCCTGGCAAGCCCAATCCCTTCTCTTGTTGCCCAAGACACGGCAAGTAATTCGCTTTTGCAAGTAGCTTTAAGTTGCTTTGCTTCTGAAGCGGCTGCTGCCGCTCTTTAATTCCGGATAATGGACAGTCATCAGGGAGCGAGACCCATAAACTGTTACGCTTGCCCGGCTCGGAACCTCGACTGATGTGCAGCGATGTGTACAGGAGATACAAGTATTCGCAGATGATTCGAAGAACAAATCTCAGGTGCAACTGTGAGGCAACACACATCGCTCCAGCCTTCTGGCTGTGGAAACAAATAACAAAACGCGAAGGCAATGCCTCGCATGGCGCCATGCCGAGTTGATCGGCCAGCTCACGTGACACGAAGAAGTCACTGTCAAACGTACACATCGTGTCAGCCATGTTCATGGCCGACACGATGCTCTCTGCCGAACGGAAAGGCAGAATTGCTTGGCGGCCCAGGAAGCTCTTGAGCTGTCCCCTTCTTTTAGAAAGGCCGCGGCGACTGTATGAAATGGGCAGAGGCGGTGCCCAGTCTTAGTATCTTGTCGGACTGAAGGCTTGAACGGAAAGCAGAATGGATATAGTGCCGCACCACACTCTGATAGAAATTCTGGTTTTGCTGCGTCGTCCTGTGGGTAGGTGGATACAGCATGCATCGAGCCTTAACTAACAGCCGGACATGCACGCCGAGATATGTACAAAGCTCGGCAGGCTCTTAGATGGCAGCATTTGGGAAGCTGACAGCATGGACGATCCTTAGCTGCTTCTTTCCTTGCTGTGAGACACGGCATGACATAGCAGTTGATGCAAACATCCTGCACTACCTCCACTACTGCATCCAGGCAACCGCATCAGATTTTAGAAACTGAAGTTGGTGCCAAATGCATCTCTGCAACGAAGCGGCTTGTTAGAACCTACTGCTTGTGGCAGGCAGTCCAGGTATCTGCGATGTCTTCGTTTGCACGCCCCGGAGTGAAGGAAGCGATCCAGTTGACGACTGTTCGCAAAGGGACATTTTTCCTTGATTGATTCGCAGGAGTTTCATCAAGCTCGCGATCACACGACTGAATGGAGAGTCGCTGCAAGGAACATCTAGAAGCCCGACTGAACGTGCTCGTAGGCTGTCTATTTGAGCTTTTCCTGTCCTACACGCCTAGTCAGATGTGAGGACGACCACATTGGCTCCGCCGAATGCATGTACTGTACAAACCGTGAAAATACGCAAGGCAAGAGAAATTCTTTGGCTGGCTCTTCAAGAGCTCCTAGTAAATGGCTACCGGCAAAGGCAATCCAACACCTCACGCCAGCCACAAATCTCAGCCATGCCGCTTCTTCGATACCTTCTTGACCAAGAGCTTAAAGCGCTCGAAGGTCATTCCACGCTTAGACTCCTTGCATTCCTTGAACCTGGGCTCAGCGAACATGGGCTCAGATCCAGGCACAAGCTGCCACTCTCCACTACTCGTGGTCTGAGCCGGAAGGCTCTCGGCTCAAGATTTTGGATACCCCCCTGATTCGACCCCACTGAATGCGCAAGCGACTCCAAGCCAACACCCCGACACCAAACAGCCTCACGGAAGGAAAGGCAAGGTTCAACACCTCAGAGAACCCAAAGTGTTTTGTCCCTATACTCTATACTGTCATATTCTAAAGTGTTTTGTCCCTATACTATCATATTCTGTCTGAGTCATCTCTCTTCTTTACAGCGATGGGAGGAGGACGCTCTGTCCGGGCCGCAAGGCCATGGCCTCGGTGATGCCAAAGCCGGTATCGTCCAGGATGTCGAGCTGGCCTCGCTCGGTGGCGGCATTTTGATTCAAAGGGGGGCCTAGTGCTGGAGGCTTTCTGTCGTTTTTTTTTTTTTTTTTTT